CTATAGGAAATCTAAGGGGAGGTAGAGCGGCAGGTCCCGACAGGCTTACTCCTGAGATGTTTATTAACATTAATACCTCTACTATCTTTATCACTATGGGATTTGATTTGACATTTGCGTTTCTGTGCTAATAATGTGGTATGGCAACATGAACTTATGTACATACGTACGAAGTTCTACGTTGCAACTGACTGACTGACTGACTGAGGTAGATATAGTAAAAATGGAGGAGATTAGGGTTTGAAGATATGATTTAAGGAGTATAATCCAGTGAAATAAGTTTAGACAGAAAAAGATAAAGGTGATGAGGAATTCAGAAGACTAAAATCTGATAGAACACAAACAATTGATTCATCCGCGCCATTCCAAATAACTTTAAGCTATGTAGTTCTAGGTCTCCAACCATTGATTACTATCGTCTTGCGGACCCCAAACAGGTAGTCTACATCTATCTCAACACGGCTAATTCCAGTTGTCAGTGACTTCACGGACTGGTGCCTTGCTTTGGACGCCATTAGACAGCATCGTTTATCGTGGAGTTCGGTGATCGGGTAGACGTATTGAATATGTTATAGGTCTATTAATTAGTAAGAGAATCAATGAAGATGATAGACGAAAAATAAATAAATAGTTCTATGTTTTGTCGTTGAATATCGCTTTCTTATAGATTAATCATCCCTATAATGTATAACATTAACGTTCATAAACATTTTATACACGATGAAAAATTCCATAAACACAATTTTTAAAGGAATCACAAACCAAGCAGTAAAGTGAATATTCTCTTATTCATAATAATTAAGGTTATGTAACCAATATATACATATATTTCTACAATATTGAACAAATTGAAAAAGTAATAGTAACCTTACAAAAACTTAATACACTTTATTCAAAGTACTTTACTCTAACATATCTTAATTATTTCTATTTTCATCAATAAAGATTCTTTAGTCATTGAGACTGAAAAACTGACCTCAAATCAGTGCAGTCATTGTTAAAAATCATCTAAGCTTGTGTTTGTATACAGTGATTTTACATCTATCAGTTTTAGTTTAAAACTCTAATAGAAAGGATAGTAGAATTGAAAATGGATATTTCAAATAAGAATTTTGTGAAAACATAAGACCAGTGAATAAACATGATGTTATAGAGATATTACAATACTAGATTATATAAAGTAAACAGTTATGACAATAAAATATTACGTAACTTCTTCGAGATATGATAAATAGAAGAGTAAAAAAAACTCACACACTAACAATGGATCATATATTTCGTTAAGTGGAGCAAGATAATTGAAATGTTTGCTTTTATTGTCACAAAAACCAAAAGTTACTGCAGGAATTCAATAAGAGGTGTTTGCAAAGTATGGCTCACGTATTTTTGGAATAGAGAATAGGCGCTGTTTGGGTTGAGAATAAGGATGGTGAGGTCGTCAGTCTTCATTAGTTAAAGTGGTGGGGACATGTGTTACGAAAGCCCTACCGCTAACTGCCTTGAAGAGCGACGTTTTGTGATTTAAGTGTGGGGTGAAAGACAGCTAGGTGGGATCGAGCTAAAACACAGCACAAATCCATACAGTCACTAACTACTGAACTGAACCATGTTAGTAGGTGAGGACTACCTGGTTATGGTTCGTGTGATTATCGTAACTAGTGACTAGAGAGAGTGAATAGAATGACTCAAAATCGTTTGTAATGGTGCGAATGCATCAATTCTTAGCCTTACGCTAGGATTTACAGTTTTTGCATTCTGTTATGCTCGTCAGTTGATATGCTTGGAACTATTACCAGTTCACCTTACTCGGTAAATGAGAACGAAGATAAATGATCCAGTGACACGATAGGCTACTCTAATCCGAGCGCTCATACGCCCCACTAAGTAGATGAAGAAGTCTTTATATGGCGTAGAAAGTGTATTCTACAAGCACCCAGAAACACACGAGGTTGACAAGCACATAAACCGGGCTTATTTATAAATCATAGAAACGTGCTTGGGAGAGCCACAAAAATAGCGTACTAAAATAATACATCAACCAATAACAGCCAAAGGTTTTCCGAGTCGGAGATGTAATGCCAAGGTCAACTGATCAGCCCTCGCGCTAAAACATAAAATCCGAAATTAGGACCTTTATCAAATGAGTTCTAGGGATCTAAAGTCCCAAACAAATTCCTTATGATTTTTCGTTTCATTAATTTATATTTTCTTAAATCGTATTTTCCATGCCTACCCTTTTCTATTATCTTTGAAAAGCCGTAGTTACTACCTCTACTACTATGGGATTTAAATTGACAATTCTATTTCTGTGTTTGAAATGGTGGGGAAAACTTGTAGCTCAGGTGGATGATTGTGGTGGTGTTAGCAGAACAAGCTACAGGTCAAACGTGGAGAAATTCGAATGCTTCACTTCTATCTGAAGTTTGTGCTGATGATGTTGTTCAGCAGACGAACAATGAAAGCTCCACAACCAAAACAACCAGCACAGAGAACAAAACACCACCACAATCTATTTCTGTGTGTTTATCTGGCATGGTAACTTTAATTGATGTACGTACGTATGAAGTTCTACGTTTCCGTTGACTGAGTAAACTAGTCCATATGTCGATTTACATAATTCGTTCAAATCTGTCACTTTTTTCATTGTATTCATCTCGCGTTTTAGATAACAAAACGTACTTCTCATTCATGAGAATAAAGCATCCACTGAGTGTATCCAAAAGAAGAAAAACTTTATTTTTATCTTTAACATGAGCTTAACTTAATAAATTTATTTGATTACATTTGTATTCATATTTGAAAAAAAATATCGTTACTCTTCTCAATTGTTTATTTTTTTTTTGCGTATCAACTTGAATATCACTTTTATTTCATTCAATTCCTATGATACTTTCGTCAATTGTGTTGTGAAAAAAATTATTTTATTTCATTCATAATAGATTGTGAAATTTATTGTTATACCATCTAATATGTACATGCCTTTTTTTTATATTTACTCCCTTATTTTGCAAACTGGATAGAAAAGTATCTATGAATATAAAGAAGTTTAATAAAAGAAATCTAAACGAGAAGAATATAATAAGAGAATGAAAAAAAAAGGTAGGAAAAGAACTGAATACAAAATAGATAGGGTGAGAAAAGGAAATAAATAAATAACTATACATATTTTTGAAGTCATGAATTGATCAATGTTAGACTACTACTATCAGAGAAATATGGAAGCATTGGACAGCCGTTTCATCTTGGTGTGGCAAGCGCTCATTAGCGTTGAGCATCCATGACTCTTGCAACTCGCAGGATTCGAACCCAGGACCTTCGATGTTGCGCGCAAAACAGCACTCCGATGCTTCCAGGTTTCTAATGCTGGTTTAACATTGGTCGATCTATGATCGCCAAAATCCCATAATGCATATGTGTATGTAGCAAGATATACATTACAATGAAGCAAGTACTTGCATAAAACATTAATTTCCTTTTTGAAATGAAACAATACGATATAAAAACAAGTAAAAGTACAAGGACTTTATTATTGATCGAAATTACTGCTATGGTAATATATATATATATATATATATATATATATATATATATATATATATATATATATATATATATATATAGGGAGAGAGAGAGAGAATTGATTCATACTATGTATATAAAGTGTAATCATTCATTTAGCTCAAACAAAAAACATTGAATCAATGAGTAATAGAAAGGAAACAATAATATTATGTAAATTTACTAAGAACACTTCAATAATGAATGCATTACATTTTATCATATGGTAGGAAAGAAATAAGATGTATGATAAAAATGAATACTGTAAGAGAAAGTCGGCAATGTCGACAATTTTTTTATGGAATTTTAAATGATAGGCAATATAGTTTGAAAAAATGGATAAGACTGATGAATGAGTAGTCTAGTATTCTTGATTAATTTATGATTTAAGGAGAAAATTGAATGATCGAACATTAGTAAACACTAGTTACTAGCATTGTTTGAAGCCTATTGAGAAGGAGATCCGCCTGCAGCCCCTCTGAGGCTACTGTTGGTCCTAAGCTCAGATAAAGGAAGAGGGTTGGGCATGGGGTTGGCGGCCTCATCCCGTAGAACACTAACTCGCTGAAAAAGCGCTAATGAGAAGGGTCTGTACTGTGTGGTATGGTTCAGACAAGTAGTCAATTACTTTCAATCTAACTGTTTTGGTAAATGCATATGACATTGTAACACTTGTAGTTTAAATGATGAACTGATCATGGCTAGAACAACAGGTTAACACCTTTAGATGCCAGCTCAGTAGCCTAGGTGGTAGTGAGCTTGATTCACAGATCACATACTACTCGACAGTTTCATACTGGAACAAAGCAGCCTTCCAATGGTTCTAGGGGTGGTTATAGTGGCCTAGTTAAGATTAGTTCGAGATTTGAACTGTGGAAAATGTTACCATGTCCGAAAATCCGGCAATACTTTGCCATAATAATTCTCACTTAGTATTCCGGTTTTTATATTTTCATTGGTTAAGTTATGTATAATCATTCAAAAAAAAACAGTGCACACTATCGAATTTAAACAACCGTTTATTCAAAAATAAATAAACAGCTTACATCAAATCCCACTCCACCTACATTGGTTTGAATGACCAAGTAGTGTATCACTAGTCCTCATTATTTAGAAATAAGCTTAAAATCAAATATACGAGTCGATAATTAGTAAATGATTGAAGAAAATATGAATTACTAAACTGCACAACTAATCATTTGGAGACAAATACGCGTTCGCATTAGAGCATGATTTGAATCTAAATATGTGACCTAGAACGAGAGACGATCCTCTATAGAACCCTTCCATCGGTGGCTGATGGCGATATGATCTAGTTGGGTCCAGCGTTGGGAGATTGGTCAAAGAAAACCACAACAACAACAACAAAAGGCAACGAACACTATCGAATTGAAACGAACGCTTATTTAAAAATAAATGAATAAATACGTAAAACAACTTACATTGATTTCTAGGTTTCTTTACAGTTGTTGAAGGCACTCGCATAGTTAATCTTTTCTATTAGTTATCCAATACGATGATGACGGCGGCGGCGGCGACAACGACAACAACAAAGACAACATCAATATTAAAGACAACAATAACGACACATTTACACAGTGGATGGTAGTGGTGCTCAACCCTATTTCAAAACATCAAGAAAAACAAACAAACAAAACACTTATGATATAAGATCATGTTAATATCAATGATTAATTTTAAATGCGTTCAAAAAAAAATTATACACGATTGGCTTAATGGTTATTTTATTTGTCATACAGACACTCAATAACAGGCTCGAATCCCGCTACTCCACCTATATTCGTTTGAATGACCAAGTGATGGTGTATTACTAGTCCTCATTATTTAGAAATAAGCTTAAAATCAAGTAAACAAGTTAATACTTAGTAAATGAATGATGATGAAAGTTTGAACCGCTAAACTGTACAACCAATCAGGCACTTTGTAATCATATTTATGGATTGTAAGTAAGCATTAATCACTTAGCGTTTCAAGGTGTTGTTGGCAATCGATCACATCTTTAGTAAGAAAATTCCTATTACACATGATTTATCTAAAAAGTATTAAATATATTATCTCAAGTGATTGTTGGCTTATCAGTCTCACCCGGTTAATTTAATTTAATTTACCAAATTAATCAATTAGGCATATCAGTAAAAATTAAATATTTATATATATCTACTTCAAAACAGAAAAAAAGAGAAAAGCTGACAAAAATTTTAACCCTAAAAAATTTAGAAATTAATTTTCGCACATCAAAAAAAAAAATCTTCATTCCTCATTCACTCATCATTTGTCCTAGTCAGGTTACAAAAATAAGAAAACTTTAAGAAAAGTAAATTTAGAAAATAACCTCAACCATTGATATTTAGATGTGCATGTATATATATATATATATATATATATATATATATATATATATATATATATATATATAGATTGTATGTGAAATTCATTTCAATTCACAAAGAAGGTTCAAAGATAAAATAAACTTTCAGTCAATTAATTATCATTATCTTTATCATCAAATCATTATTTGTTACGTGACCTGATCGACTAGATCAGTGTTAGTAAGTACTGTTCAATACTATAAAAAAAAAAATTACCAACAAACGAAACAAATAAACGTCTATTTTGAATGATTACATGGTTGATTTTTTTACTCGAAAGCATTATTAGTACCCGCAATTATGGAAGATAATGTTACTAATTTTCTACAATCAATGATACTTAACATTTACACTTTCTTTGTAGACAAAAGAAAATGCTACTGATGCGCTAAGAAGAACAGATATAATATAATATGTTTTCGGGGAGTTTTCAGAGGTTTTGTGTTTTTACACATTTCAAATCATCAATCAATCATTGCTAGACCACTATCAGAAACCAGGAAGCACTGGACTGCCGTTTCGTCCTGGTATGGGACTCATCAGATAAAATATGCATGAAACTGCAATTCATCAACGTGCCAACAAATAAAAAATAAATACAAGAGGAAATTTTAATTTTTTTTTTGTAAAATATATCTATAATACAATGAAAACAACAACATTGATAATACCGATGATAGTGAGTCAGATTACACATTGAACTGTAAACGCATTCATACATACATGCACACACACACACACACTGAATGAGCGAAAAAGAGAAAGTTAACAAAGGAATAAATTTGTTTTTTTTTCTATTTTATTTTTATCTTTACGTTTAGGAAAGTTTTACAACATTTTAAAAATAAATTATTTTCAGAAAAAAAAATACTATAAATCAATGATGTGTATGAAAAGAAAAAAAATCAAAAACTAAAATATATTCGTGTGTACTACTTATGTGTGTAAAAAAAACTTTCATTTACATTTCAATGAATAGATGATATACACAGTGGCTGGGGTGCCAAGTTAATGTAAAATATTATAAAGTGGAATGTATTGGAATTTAAAGAACATCAAACGTTTCGTTCGGCAAATTGGTCTAATTTATTTAATTGGTAAACTTTATCTAAGTATTGACAGTAATGATATATATATATATATATATATATATATATATATATATATATATATATATATATATTGATCACTCGTGGACACGTTGTAGTATACTGTATCGACTGCAATTAAACAAATATCTTCATTCAATGTTTAAAAGGTGATTTGTGTGTTTTACTACGCCAAAGATTTTCCCCTACTCAGGATATTCGTATATTAAAATGACAGAAATATTCAATAAATTTAGATTTTCAAAAATTCTCACTAAATAGTATCAATCCTTAATGAAATCTACTTTTTTTTTTAAAACTTTTAATAAGTTGTATGAAAATCCATCTAAGAATTCGATAAGATACAGTAAGTAAAGGAACGATTATGTAATAAATGTGACATTGAGTACACTTGAGGGAAGAGTAATTTGAACATACAAAAAGTTCATTAAAATACTAACAATAAAACTATAACATCTGTAGTGATAAATGACATGATTCTCTAAAGAAGAATAGTAGTATTCGAGAGAATAGAAGTTCAGTTCCCTAACTACTAAACTGTTGTTTTATTCAACAGAGAAAAAAAAGAGTGCATTAGGTCGATAGGAACCCTACACTGATTTCGACTAAAGTAAGAGAGGCAGTTATACAAATTCATTAAGATCAATGCCAATGGCCTCAACTACGTGAAACATACACATACAAGTAGACCACGAAAAATCTGAGTGATTTGAAAGATTTTATTGACGTTCACATGATATCCGGGGTATCATCCATTAAGAGAACAACTATGCCATTATCATTATACTCATCATTGGGAGTTGATCACAAATGAGTAAATTATATTCTGATATTTTTAAATGCCTTTTGCTTTAAAAAAACAATTTCGTGTCGTTTCTTCATCACAACTTAAATGAATCATTCTCCTTTCGTTGCTTAAATTATCTTTATAGTAGTACATGATGATGATATATCTTTCTTTTTATGGAGTTTTAAGTCCAAAATACATAATTTGTCTTTCTTTTATTGTTCATCCTTCTTTCTTTTCGCCTTATCTACCTTACCTATCTATGCCAGAAATGTCTTTTAGACTAGACTAGACAGGAAAAGAAACCTAGTCATAATATGTTTGAAATTAGACAAGAACAAACAAAAAAAAACAAGACAAGACAAGACAATGACCATAATTGAACACACACTCGGAAAACTTGTTTCATAATTTGTAATCAATTCAATGTTAAATGGGAGAAAAATTTTAACAAAGAAAAAAAAACAATTACGCGCTTATTTAATTTTGTCCACAATAATTCATTTTATTGGTTCACAACATTATAAAATCTCTTGGTCAATTTTCGATCTAACTATGACATAATTATTGTTACAAAGTTCAGTGTTCTATGAATATTTAGTATAAATAATTACTAACAGCAAGAAAACTTAAAATTTTTAACGATATAAATGTATCAATAATCGAAGTAGGATCAAACTACATAAGCACACTCTGTTGAAAGTAATACGTAGTGTGCACTTCATTATTAACATGTCTTTCGATCTTGTCAATTACTCGCTCATGACCTTGACTGTGTGCATGTGTGCATTGTTAACTTTGCTTATCACATATCCAGCTTATTTTTGTCTCATCCAGTTGACTTAACCCACTCGTCTTCTCCGCCTGCTTGCCTCGGCTGCATAAGCGGGTGAATGAAATAAATTCATCTAAAATGAATTGTATTGAGTTTTTAATTGTCGCCATAGCACAAACAGGGTTAGCCAAAATGTAATATAATACGGAAATCAAATTACAAAATTTATTTCATAGCATTTTCAACTATTGATACGAATTACAGTTAAACCCCATGTCACTAAAATTAACTGTATCAATAGTGGTAAAAAGATTCACGACAGATAAAATGTTCCAAGGGAAAAGAATGAATTCATTGATAATTTGAAACTCACGTACTCAAAGAAGAAGACAACAAATGAATCAATCTGCACAATCTCAAATGATTCTAATTCATGTGACACAATATCTGCCAACCAATGATTAAGATATTCATGCGGACACCAATCAGATAGCTTGCACATGCCAACATGACTTTACGGACTGAACTGGCCACCTAAGGCTTTCTTCGTCCAACCTACACCAATCAACATAGCGCGTCGGGGTAGGCAGTAGTATACAGTATTCATGTTAACAATAACAATCAATGAAGATTTTGCTATCTTACCGATCGATTTACAGTTCTCATCTAGTACTTTGAATCTAACATACACATATACAAGCTACAAATGACTAATGCTTGATGAATACATATACAACGATAAGATCACATGACTTTATACAATAAATAATTACACGTTATTTGAAAACACAACAATGTATGCACAAATTAAAACAGCTGACCATCTATCATGCAGTAACATGCATATCACCATTCATTTTGTTGATTAATTCAATATATTCAGTCAATAATAATAGTCTTCACTTAAATATCTATCTATTCAATACGACATGATATTTGAGTTAACACAAAATAAGCCAATAAAACTCAATATACATTATTGTAGTAATGGTAAGCATCAAATCAATCCCTTATTTATCTGAAGAGTGATGGTATTAGCTGACTGTCCAAAAACTAAATTCATTAGAGTAGAAGAGTAACCTACGATCAGAATGTAACATCATAGGAATAAACATAATTACTTCGATGAGAAAAACGATAGTGGAGTAAATTTGTAGCTCAGATGGAAGATTACGCTGGAGTTTCGTTCTCTGAGCTGGTTGTTTTGGTTGTGGAACAACCATAGTACTTATGAACAACAACATCATCATCAACAGAAGCACAAACTTTCCGTAGAAAAGAAAAATTCAAGCTTCTCCACATATGCTTCGTAGCTTGTCCTGTCGACATCGATCTTGATTGGTTCTTATTGTTATCATGCTTATTATATACACTAATTCATGAGGCAATATTTTTATGAATTATATAATTTTATCAACAACCCATTATAGGGATAAAAAAACAATTAGTCTAAACAAGATGTCTACATTTTGAATGATTACTGATTTTGTTGCATAAAATATTTGTCAGTTAATCAATATTTTTCCCTAAAATTAACCGAGTTGATGATGAAACGAGAACA